TAAAAGGAAGTGATGACATGGGGAAACATCTGCATGTGAACAGAGCATTGCTACCACAGCTGACAACACAAATTGTAGAGAAAAATCTGATGTTTCTTTAGATTATTTTGAATTACTGTCAGAGAGATGAAGAAGAGTCAGAGTTCTAAAAATAATATTTCAATGAATAAAGACTATAGAGTTCCTTTTCAGTCATTTCACTCAGTACAACACACAGTTGTATAGGGAACACGTGCGCCCTCGCGCGCGCCTGGCTGAAGCCACCACTAATCACGTCTTTAGACCGTGACGTTGAACGTCGGGTGACAGGCTCCGCCTTCACCCTATAAGTTTGAAGTCACCAGCATCATTACTCAGTTCTATCGCCCTTCACCTCGCGATAGTCGCCTCTAAACCTGAGCTCACATAGCTGCTGCTAGTTAGCTCAGCTTCTAAGGTTCTTAGGCTAGCTTTACTGGTGCTAACCGCGTTACCTGCTGGTTCGTGTGTCTGCCGCTCGACGCTACTTAAGTGATCTTTCTTTTCTGCTGAAAATCTGTTTTGTGGTTCACGATGAGCACAAAACCACCTCTGAAGAAGCCGAAGTCTTCTGTTCGCCCCTGTCCTCAGGGGTGCAGTTTTAAGCTTCATGAGAAGGACCAGCATGAGGCCTGCCCGGCCTGCCTAGGAATCATTCACGCTCGACGGGCGCTTGTGGAGCCCGAGTCCTGCCGGGCCTGTGCTGGACTTTCGCGTCCGACACTGGAGAGGAGAGTGAAATTCCTGGAGAAAATGCTGGGGGAAACAGCTGTTTTCTGACAAGACCCGCAGCTCTCCGAATCCAGCCAGACGGCTCAGTCCGATGAAGACGAGGATTCGGCGGTCGAAGCCCCTGGGCTAGCTGGGCGGACCAGATGGAGCACGAGGCGGCCTCACCCGACGTCGAGTGGGGCGAGACCCAGTTTCTACTGGATGTAAACCAAGAGGAGGACGATGTTCTGCAGATGGAGCAGGAGGTTCTCAGTTTGTCCGAAGACGACGAGGAGCCGTGCCCAGCTCACTCCTGAGATTTTTCTTTTGAACCAGACAGTAATTATATTTGTCTTTATAGCTATTTTACTGAAAGCTGCCCATGTTGAACACTGTCCATTCCCAGATAGCAAAATATGTTAATTCAATGTTGAATTATGGTCAAAAACTTAGATTTTTGGTTAAGGGTGATTGATGGTGAATCAACCATCAAACAATCATCCAATTCTGGCAAAATAACTAATGCTGAAAAGATGTTATTGAATCAATGTTGTTTAATGGTCAGTGATTGATTTGAAATCATAACATGTGACTGAACAGATTGAGGTTTTAGTGGGTTTAGATGTTGGACATTGGCCCTTAAACAGACCCTCTTTTGATTAGCGGTTAGCCTGATTCACAGATACAAACTTCTCTTTGTTTCTCCAAATGGAGATGGGTTTGCTGCAGGTAGGCCTCTGAACACTCAGGTGTACTGCATATAACCAGACTTGTTTTTACAGTTTAACTTTACAGTTTTAACCCCACCTTTCTTTTAACAATGTAACATTTGGCTTAAAGAGTTTTGGTGCAAAAAAATCATAGATTTCGTGACATTCTGGTAACAATGGTTTGATTTTAGCCACTATTTTACCTGAAAATGTATTAGAATGACTAAAACCTATTTTATAAGTACACCTCATGTAAAAACACGTCATTACTTTGAAAGATTAAAGTTACACATTTAAATATGTTAAAATATTCAGGGTATAAAAATTTAAAATTAGTTCTTAATTTGATTGAGAAGCTATTTTTGCATCGATGGCTTTAGTTGATATGTTTTAAATGTACAGTGAACCAACAGATGGCTCAGTTCTGTATTTTAGATTTTGACTGACAGAAGATCCTGCTCATACAAGATTACTGTGTCAACATGAGAGTAAAAAAAACATAAAAGTGGCTCTGCATCTTGTCAGTGTGAGTGAAGGGGGTTTGCAGGGCATTTTGACAGATAATTAGCATACCAAGCTGATTATCAAGCAGCTAAAATGAAGTTACCCATTGAATAACGTTGGCGTGGACATTGTTGTCATTTTTAACAGAAAAGAATCAACAAAAGGTCTGCAGAGAACTGACTGAGTACAGAAACAATCATCTGATGATGATTTATGCTGTAGTTGTGGACACAGATGCAACAACAAACATGATATCATGGAAAGTGGAGACTTTCATCACTTGACATTAATGTTTTTACTGTGCCTCACTGCAAAAATTTCACAAACCAGTAGATGAATTTTAATGAAATTCAAGAAGTCTACAACTGATAAATCTTTAGGGTCAACCCAATTCTAGACGGCCTTTACAGCTAATCAATCTTAACCCACCCACCCCCCCCCCCCAAAAAAAGAAATGACTATAACTATAAAACTTGGTCTGTGTGTGAGAGAAATACATAATGTTATAAAAAGAGGGTTTTAGTCTAACATTGTCATGAAAGATGTGAGCTGCACATTACTTCAAGGATTTCTAGATGTTTGAATGCTGAGTCATCACTCACACTGTTGGTTTAATGTTTATATTTTATTTTCTGCAGTCAAACTACTTCTTCATTTTTGCTATTTTAACTCTTCCTCTACCAAAACATTCAGCTCAACCAGACATATTATGCTCAGACTTTTAGTTTTTGTAAGTTATACTTTTCAAAATATTAATTTTGTTTATCCTAAAATCCCCCTGAAGAAATACACTGAGAACTCTTTGATTTCTTCTGAAATATATTTTTAATCTGCTTCATTATACTTACTGTGGTTTCATGCTCCTTTCATTTTTTAGTTCTACCACTTTAAATTTTAGCTTTTAATCGTTAATTTTTGCTAGCGTCCGATTTTGGCCAAGATTTTGTTACTTCAAACTTTTGCTGCAGTTTTGCTCATTTTAGCTTGTAGATAATGTTTTGCACCTTTTATCTTTCAGCTACAGTTGTGTTCCCTCTTGCTACTGTTTTGGAACTTTTAGCTTTGAGCTACTCTTCTGCCTCTTTTAGCTTTTGGCTATGATTTTGCACATTGCAGCTTTTGAGTACAGATTTGCTGTATTTAGCATGTTGCAACTGTTTTTCTCCTTTTATCTACTTTTTGCAAATTTTAGCTTTTAGCTACTGGATACCTAAATTTAGCTTTTAGCTATAACTTTGCAGATCCATCTTTTAGCTGGCTTTGCTGTATACTGGCAGCTGGCCTGCTGGTTTGAACTTACAGTAGTCTTTCAGCAGGCAACATTTACACTACACTTTCACAGAAAATAACATTGTTCTGTTCTTTTAGATTTTTAATTGTTCATTTTTCAGAGTCCTATATGACCCTAATATATTAATAAAGACAAGGACTTTTTGTTATATACATTATATATAAAACAACTGGTGAAACAAGACTGTTTATCACCACTAAATGTATGTCAGAGTTGTAAGTAATTAATAAATAAAAACCATTAAATGCATTTTTCTGTGTGATGAAAAACCTAAAGTAGTTAAGGTTTATATCCCCAAGTGCAACGGAATGCAAGACTGCAGAGGGAGTAACATATTTAGATGCTGTTTTCCCAAGAGGGAATTAATTCAAGATGTGAATTTTTTTCATAAAACTTAATGTTATAGTGATGAGTTATCTTCTTTATTAAATACTGACACCAAACTGCTTTAATGTCGGTCTCTAGTTTAAGGCTAGAGATATAAATGGTCTCAGTTTTAGTCCCTCAGAGCTTACTCGTTCCTAAAGTTTTGTGTGTAAATGGGGTTAGCTGTAGATTTAAACATTTCTGAACAGAGTAGCTCTCCTCTTCAGCCTGACAACAGGTTGCACAGAGATGAGGGGAATCTGAGACACTTGTTCAGGGAGAAGATGTTCCACCAGCCAGTGCTGCGTGTGTGTGTTTTTCTCAGTACAGCTGGCAGACTGAAAGCGACCCTCTCCACAACCATTCAACCCCCACCTCAAGCCTCCTTCTGCTCCTTTTCTGCTCTTTTGGCTGCATCCTTCACCCCCAACCATTCAGCAGAGCTGGCACTGAGTCTCAAAGCAAGAGAGATGGGATGAGAGGAGATGGGCGAGGGGGGAGGTGAACCTGTGTGTGTGTGTGTGTGTGTGTGTGTGTGTGTGTGTGTGTGCGCGTGCGTTCTAGTTGGAGAAAGAAAGCAAATCAGTTGCACCTAAAAGGAAACGCAAAAGGAAACGCCGAAAGGCAGTGGGCAGAAATAGTGCTGTTAGTTGGGGGGGGGGTACAGTCTGAAAGTGTGAACTTGGAGCCACTGAGCTGGAACAGAAGTCGATAAGGGCCCAATAGTTTTGATGAGTTATCAGTCTGTGTACTTGTTGGATGTTTATGTTCAGCCATGTTGCTTAACTTACATTCTTTGGTCTGTGATGAATTTCCAAACTCCGTCATTAACAACAAAAAAAAAAAGAATAAATAAATAAAATAAATAAAAATCTCTGCTGTAAAATTAAAATAAAACCTTTGCCGTCCATCTTTTCTGTTTAATTTGCTGACGGCACTGAAGAAGTTTATTTAGTCATTTAGAAACTGATTTTAAAAGCACCACACCTTATTCATAGTTTTCCTCTTGAAGTATTGATTCTTATAATCTAATGTTTGACTTTTGTTATGTCTTGATTAAAATAGGTTTAGATACATGCCTGAAAACACCATCACAACACATAAAAAAACATTAATCAAACATGAGGACAGGATGTCTTTATGAGTATCTGCGATTCAGCCGTAGGCCTGTAGTGGGCGTACCAGGCACTGAAGAACCATGTATTTATGGACCGGGACTTCTGGTTTTGATTCAGCGTTGGTTTCATGTCTATAGAGAGAGCATTAAACCACCGTTCACTCCAGTCACTGGCGTTGTTTGGTCCTTCTCGTAACATTTTAATCTATTCAACATTAATGTGGTTTTGTCACGATTTCAGTTAATGAACACTAAATTTTCTTACAGCACAATGAATTCTGGGAGACTGTCGGCCACTTAGGATACTCAGATGCAACCCACATTTTCAGGGTTTTGTCAGCCGCTTTTGCCGGTTGCATGAGTAGGCGCCTACGACATCGGCTGCAACCCTATAATGAATTGAGACACAAGGTTTCAAATACTTTTAATGTATGCCTGACTTTCTACAGTTTGGCTCAAATATGAAACATAACTCCTCAACTTCTGCTAGGGTTGGGTCATAAATCAATAACAATTTTTATCGCGGTATGCACTTCATCAATCTCTATAAATACCTGTTTGATAGAATGATGATACTTTCACTGAAGTCTGATCCAGAACTGCATGGCATTCTGGGGGATGTAGGCAGAGAAAAGGCTTTAGCTATTTGACCTCATGGCTCAGCTAAGGCCGGCGTCACACTACAAGAAAATCCTGCCGATTTTTACCCTTCCGACCATCTTAAGGAAGTCCAGATGATCGTGATGGCTCTAAAGATAATCATAGCAGATATTCCCACCATGGGTGGTGAGTTAAGAGTAATCTAGTCGGCTCGGAAGGACATCGGGACCGCTCCGACCTCAATTCGGGGATATTCAACATGTTTGATTTTTTGTCCCGAGATCACAGTGTGCGTGTGGCATTCACCCCGAGCTCTCAGACTGTGAAAGAGACGTGTAGCCAATCAGAAAACGAGGTGATGTAAACACAGAGGGGAATCCAAATACAGAAGACAAAAAACACCTGTCATAACTCACCAGAAAGTCTGCTGGATGTTAAAAGTCCTGTGGAATTGTTTATCCTCTGGTAAAAATTGTCCACAAACGATCAACATTGTGTCTTCCTTGTTGCAAATGTTTATTTACTCTGAACTCACGTTTCTCTGGAGGTCACGTAACATTTTTCCTGGGACATCTGAATTCTCGCGAGATTTCAGGAAGTCTCGTGATTTAATATCTGACATCTGAATCGTGAATGAAATATCTTTTCGTGTGTGGCGGCTTGTCTCTTGCTGTGTGGCTGTACACCACACACTATAGGACCAAACCTGGTAGATCCATGATTTTTTATCCTCACGTGTGAGCTCGCTCAGTCTTTGAAAATCGGCCGACTGCTTTAAAATCTTGTAGCGTGACTCAACCTTAAGGTTGGTGGCATCAACTCACTCACCCTTTAGTAAGCCAAGCTAGCAACAACCTGTTGAGTAATGAGTGCCGCAGCAGTTTCATCTTTTGCTTCCTAACTGCTTAAAACATAAAAAAACAATGTGGAGTGAAAGGAGAAAATGAGGCTGTGGATAAAAGAAGAAAGGTCACATCATCAAATAGATAAAGCAAAAGATTAATCAGTAATTACTGATATGGACTGATAGGAAACGCTTAAATCCTGATACATTATTCAGCCATGTTGTCCAGCCCTAACTGTCAATCAAATGAATAAACTGCTCTGTTGCGTTCATAAAATTCTAAATTTGAATCTGATGAATTCAGTGCCTCACCACCCATGAACCTCACCGCATGTTTACATAGTAAAAGATGGAAATTTGAGATAAATATTTCTAAAAAAAAAAAGAAGAAAAATATTTCATACGGTCATACAGTAATAGGGTATAATTTTATTTACTGCATTTAGATATACATATGAATATATTGTTGAATATTTTAATTGAAAATTTAAAGTAGGAAAATTTCACATTTAAGTCAATTTACTCTGGAAAACGTTTCCGAACTAAGTGAATAAAAGTTTTAAATAGTCATGGTTCGGATCACTTGACCATAAAGTAAACTTTGTAAATGATTTAGATTAGATTAGATTAGACTAGACCTTTATTGTCATTGTACAGAGCACAATGAAATTACAGTTCAGAACACCCATTCAGATTTCAAGGGATCCCCGATTAGTTGTAACAATAGACTTTATTTGATAATCATATTTTAACTGTAAAATAAAAATACTGTAGGCTGTTTAGTTTTGTACATTTTTAAAAATATATTTTAACACGGACAGAGCCATTTTATTTACATGCAAAGCATTCTGGGTAAATGATGACGTGGGTAGGCCATTGGTGCGAGGCTGCTAGCGAGCTATATCCACCCTGAAGGTTAATCTTGGACAATATCTGATGATCGACTCTTTTAAATGAAACCAGAGAGCGTTGACAGAGAGGAGAAGGTAGAAATGACTCAGCCTGTAACTGAAAATATAGATGGAGGACAACAGAGCTGCTTCATGGAAGAAGAACCTCAGCTTAGCCTGTTGGCCTTTGCACTAGCACCGACAATATATTGCCTTATATGTATTAGCTTGGTGATAGTGCGACCAACAAGCTAAGCTGAGGCTAAACTTCAGGGTGGATATAGCTTGCTAGCAGCCTCGCACTGATAACCTACCCACATCATCATTTACCCAGAATGCTTTGCGTGTAAATAAAATGGCCCCGTCCGTGTACTATATTTTTAAACTTTTAGTTTAAAAATTATAAAAACTAAACATCCTACAGTATTTTTACAGTCTTTATTTTACAGTTAAAATATGTTTTTTGAATAAAGTCTAATGTTACAACTAATCATGGATCCCTTTAATGCTTTAAAATAAGGGTTGTTTATGACCTTGGGAAATTTTAAAGAGTATTAATAAGCATTTAAATACTTTATTAATAAATGTATTATTACTTTTATTTATTAGTCATTTATAAAGGTTATTGTAAGGTAACATTCAGGCCGCCGTAATGAGTGATTTGAATTCCTAAGAAATGCTAGGACTTTTATGGGAATTTGCGTTTGAGCACCTCCACAACCTCCATGCTTCTTAAAAGTCAGACGCGTGTGTGTGATTTGTCAGATATCTTTGTGTGCGTCCGTCAAATGACTCCCTGTGTGTTTCGGCCGCCTCCACATCTGCTTATCTCACCGTATCGAGTCCCAGCAGTGAGGGCAAGTCTTCAGCGAGTCCCAGTCAGCCCATATGTCCGCCGTGATCCGTGAATAACTCTGCCCGCCAGTCCTCCGACAGGACCGGGGCCTCCTTCTCCCTGCCACACACACACACACACACACACACACACACACACACACACACACACAGATGCTAATTCCTGCCCACAGTTAATTATACACACAAGTATACAAGCACCCTCTGATGCATGCACTCGTTCACCCACACACGTATAAACACAAACATGTGCAGGCACAAATTCTGCCCAGGTAGATAACTGAGGCAGGAAAACAAAGACACACACACACACACACACACACACACACACACACACAC